ACAATAGTGAGAACCGTGTCCAAATAGGATTGCATCGAATCGGTCCCCTTAGTAACACCATGGAGACGCTCCTTCAACTGAAATATATGAGTTCGTGAAAGAGAGTTGTACCGTTGTTCTAGATGATTCCAAATTGCAAGCGAGGTGGGAAGAGCATGAATATGTGTCTGAACCGTAGGTGAGACAATAGCAAGGAGACAGGCCCGAATTTGAGCGTCAACAATACGCCAGGATTCATAGGCCGGATTTGGTTTCATAACCGGCGGTTCATCCTTTCCCGGTGACGCAGCCTTCTCATCAAGAATACGAGGCGGAGGAGACGGTTCAGATCCATCCACATAGCCGAGAAGACGATGAGCGAGGAGATTTGCACGGGCGGTGGCTGACCAAGAGGGATAATTGGTGTCATCAAGCTTGACCGGGGTTAGAGATTGGAGATTCCGGACAAACAACTTGAGACCCGTAGGGAGACGATCCATAGGATCAGAAGAGACAAACGCCATGGCTGTGCACGGCTTGGTAGGAGAGCTCGGCTCTGCCGATTTTTTTTGATGATTAACGCAGCAAGAAAGGAGAGAAAAAAGGATCTTGGAGCTCCGATACCATGTTGATTTATGAATTCACTCTTAAGGAATAATTGTGTACATGGATGTTTATATATGTGAGGATCCCTACATAGACTAGGATTCACCAAATAAGTAAACTAACATAAATAACAATTCTGCTATAACTAGACTTCTTTCCATATATGTCTAACAAGAAAAAAGTAAAGTTTGGAATGTAAAAAATTAAAGACTTTCTTTTAATTTTCAATTTTCTTTTGTAAACGCATTGCCTTGAAGTGAGGTCATGTTTTTTTTACTTATTATTTATTCTTATTTAAATCAGATCATATAAAAATTTATTTCAATCAGATCAAAATGACTGAGATCCCATCAATATGGGATGAGGTGATGGACTAGACATTTGGAAGTGTAGGAAGAACTTATTTTGATATTTTATCCCTTTATTCACCTGTCGCGCCAAATACACCAAACGAGAGAGGAAGAAATTGAGGCCAAAGTGCCAAACCATATACGCCCTAAAAATGAGATTTGTACCGTTTCCTCTCATCTTCTTCCCCATTCTTCTCATACCAGTCCTTTTCAAATCTCCCGGCGTTGTCCACTCTCCCCTGTCTTTCTACTGTGTGGCCATGGCGATCCCTTTGTAGGGTACCCCTCCCTTTCTCTCCCACCCTTTTTTATCCCGCCCTCCATTCCTTTCATCATATCATCATCCCCTTTAATTCTCCTTTATTGTTCGCAAGAAAAAAATGCTGTCTCATTAATTGCAGAGTTTGATTTGCTGATTGAAGTTGAGAGATAACTGTTATCATCACTATAATTCCGCCTTCTCAGTTTTTCTTTTTTTAAAATTTCCTTGATTTTCGCGGACCCAGAAGTGGGAGTAAATAAAAAGATTCGATCTTTATCTGTTTTCTTTTTCTTTCTTTCTTTTCTTGGATTGAATTTAATCGTTTCTGGATCGATGGGCTGTGCCAATTCGAAAAAAGCAGTGTGCGTGAACTGCCACGCGCCGTACTCGCCGGTCCGCCGGAGTGTGGAGTGGGATCGGCCGCCGCGGAGAGAGGCCGAGAGCTACTACCACCACCGCCACGTGGTTTCCCTCACTTCCTCCACTTTTGGGTCTCTGCTGCTCGACCCTCTGGATCCGAATCAGAACCTCGTCTACGAAGACGAAGAAGGCGGCGAAGAATTCTCAAACGGGAAGATGATCCCGGCGATGTCACCCGGAGCCGGCGAGCCGGAGACCATTAACGCGTGGGAGCTGATGAAGGATCTCGAAGATTGCAACCATGCCGATCACAGTTTCTCCTCCCCTGTTTCTCCCAATCAATGGTCGGACTCCAATTCGACTTCCGGATCGAACGACACGTCCGTCGAATTAGCGTCTGAATTCGATCCCCAAGTGCTGGAATCATTCCGGAAAGCTCTGTCGGATCTCCCGCCGGCGTGCACTCCGTTGCATCTCAGTCCGCCGGCAACAGACAATCAGGAAACAGGGGAGGCGACACCAGGACGACGCAGAAACAGAGTGATCTTTTACTTCACAAGCCTCCGAGGAGTTCGGAAGACGTACGAGGATTGCTGCCACGTCAGATCCATTCTCCAGGAACTGGGAGTGAGGGTCGACGACCGAGACGTGTCTCTGCACTCCGGCTTCAAAGAAGAGCTGAAGGAGCTGCTCGGAGAGAGCTACAGATTGCCCGGGGTCTTCGTCGGCGAGAAGTACATCGGCGGAGCCGAGGAAATCCGGCGAATGCACGAGGAAGGGAAGCTGGAGAAGCTATTGGAGCGCTGCGAAAGGGTGGAAGAAGGCGGCGGCGGCGAAGACGGCGGAACGGCCGGAGGGTGCGAGGCGTGCGGGGACATAAGGTTCGTGCCGTGTGACACGTGTTCAGGGAGCTGTAAAATATATTGCCAGGCTGGAAGTGATTCGGATGGGTTTGGGTTTCAACGGTGTACGGACTGCAATGAGAATGGGCTGATTAGGTGTCCAATTTGTTGTGATTAGGGCCCCACCGCCTAATCCCATTTGTGTGTAAGCCTATTAGCCACGAGAGATTTGGTTCCTTAATTAGACTTTTGTTTTTTTTAGTTGTTTCCATGTTTGTGCAGAAGTACTATGATACTCCCTCGGTACATGTTTTCCTCATTTTTAATAATTAATCCACTTTAAACTTTGAAGAAAGATTTCCTTAATTCCCTCTTTAATTTAGATAGCCAAACATGTTGTGTGAGATTTGACAATGAGTGGTTGATATCTTTAAAAAAATGGATTTTTATAATTTTTATATGATTGTTTTCCATAAATGAGTCAAATTTTACTAAGTTATTTGATCAATACTAAAATCGATAGTCAAGACAGATTAATGGCTATTAGTAATGGTGGTCATTGCCTTGTTGGCCTCTGAGGTGGTGTACATATTCGTTAATTGTGACATTGATGCTACTTGCTAGTTTTTGATCATACATGCCAATTTTTGATCAAGAAGTAAAGATATCAATGATAATGAAAATTTCATGCGAGAAAAAAATTATAACAATAGAGTCAATGCATTATTGACAACTATTGATGAATTTGTACACGTTTAGGGTTTATAACCAATTATAAGTTAATTTAAATCTTTGTTATCATCTTTGATTAAAAAAAGTAATAAATTGTATACATGACTGAATTAAACAAAATTGACGTGTCATTTAGTGTAGTTTTTTGTTATCTCGAGTGTTGGGCTTCATCCATAAATGAACACTTTTAGACTTAAAAAGGTAAAATTCTAGTTTGATCACATGATTTAATCATAGACAGCATAGATGGAATCACGAGTTGTCTTACAATTTAGTCCATCTACTATCATAGAATCATTGGACTACCATGTGATGAGCAAACATTAAATGACAAAGTTTTAATGCTTGCCAGCCGAGCGCCCAAGGGCTCCATCATAAGGAACCCTGTTTATCTGATTGGGGCTTACGGTTTTAAACACTTCGTTTGCTCCTACTTGTGAATTCTAATTTTTAATCTCTAAACTGAAACTGAGTCTCTTATGTTGATACGGATGACAACTTGAGTTGGTCAAGACTCCACACTACGAGAAAGTCTTAAGTAAAGAGTATTACATTATTCTAGTCAGTCAAAGAAGATTGTATTTTTATAATAATCAATCAAATAAAATGTAGTCTTATCACTAAAAAAAATTCCATTAAAATATAGTCTTATCACTTCCTCTTAGTTGTCTGGCCAAATAATTTTGTCACAAAAATATACATACAATAAATCAAAGTTAAGAACTTAAGACCACATAAGAAGATTTTATAAATGTGGAAGGGTTTCATAGTGCTTAGACATTGTTGGGATAACAATTTTAATTACAAGTGGTGTTAATAGTATACTCGCAAACATCAATTTTTTTTAATGTACTACATATCAATTTTATTCTCACCATTCGGGAATGATCTTTTATTTAACTTTTATTGATCAAAGTTTGTAAACTTTAACTCTGATATGTGAAAAAATTATATTGTATTATGATATAAGTTTCATTTAAATATAATACTATTAGAACATAGTTTTGAAATAATATTTTTTTATTACATATATGGATATATAAATATAAATATTAATGGTCAAAATGCATAATTAGAAATTGTGAAAATTTAAATGAAAAGAATATTTCTCAATAATTTTAAAACAAAAGGGTCCTTAAATAATTTCAAATAAAATTACTCCCTATTGTGTATTTTCTAAGGTCATAATGGTCAACTCCCAAGCGGCACAACACCAACCAGGCTGGGCATGACACCGCCGTTGTGATTCTCCTCTCCGGCGCCAGCAGTATCTGCACTGCTCAGAACAGCTCAAAGATTTCTCCGATCCATATATAGACCTAACAAAATACAACTTCTTTGGACCTTCCAGGTGCCCTTCAATGAAGTTTATTATTCCGTATATTTTAAAATATACTAGTAACTGTGAATTTAGGGATCAGGCGGGTATGTACTGACCCGCTTTTGATCCTTCGGGTTGCAGGATTTCAAATCTTCACGTTATTGGATCCAATTGGAAGGATAAACGATCAGAAATGGTGTTGGTTCTAGCGATCGGAGATCTGCACATACCTCACAGAGCCGCCGATCTTCCGGCGAAGTTCAAGTCGATGCTCGTTCCGGGAAAGATTCAACACATACTCTGCACGGGAAATCTCTGTATCAAAGTACACTCGGCGCTTTTTCTTCTTCTCTGTTGATCGTTCCTTTCCCAATCCTATTTTATCATCGTGTTCCGTTGGTTAATTTTCATTATTGGCAATCCTATTGTACCATTATTGGCCACCATTGCAATACCTTTGTTCAAAGTTGCATTACATTTCCGGTAGAAACAGTTAAACAGGCAAAAGAAACAAGTTGAGCGCTGTATCATCTCTGCATCTTCCACTGTTAAGAATTGTTGGGATAAGGATTTGTTAGGAGATGGCACTGTGAGGTGATACATGTTAGGGATTTATTGAGCAAAAGAAAGCATATGCATTCACATACAAACTAACATTCATAGACTTATTTGAGCTGGAAAGTAGGTTGCGAGTAGATAAAGAAGAGCACTGTATTTCGTCCTCCGTGGTTGAAAATAGATCGTTGAGCTAGCTTCTGAAATCTGAATGATGCAGCGGCTGTTTAACAGTTTAGTTTCCTACTAAATTTTAAGGTTTCAAATTTAAACCCAAAACCTACAATTTGGCAATTTACAAATTGAATTGTAGGTTTGGAAGTTAGAAGTTGCATGGAACTGCATTCTTTAAATCCTTGCTATGGCTAAGTGTGTAGGTTGACAGAGATTTTTCTTGTATTCTTTTTGCCTATGCTTCACTTGTAAGTGTAGTTTGACAACCTTCTACATTGAACACACTAAGTTGCTCATTTGCATCCCAAACTACATTTATATCTCAAACTACATTCTAGCACCGCAGTGCTTGTAGAACTTAGTTTAGAATATCTCAATGTAATCTTTTATATTAAACACACTAGGTTTAGCGTGCTGATATGATTGGTAGTGGCAAGACTTTCTAGATTGATCACTAAAGAGTGCTAAAAAGTTCGTGCAATATTTATAACAACATTATCAAAAGTTAGGATTCTTATAGACAATGGCAGATCCAGAATTTTTTTCACTCGGGGCACAACACAAATATAATAAACATAAATTAAGATTTGAGAACTCACGTAACTCAGGAAGTTATAGACTCAGTAGCTGCTTCTAGGTACCAGAGTTCGTTCTTTTTATATTTTCTACTTTTTTTAAAGATGAAATCATCTGTCTTTAGTGATTCACATACTCTGTATTATATTGTTTTCAGTTTGAGTTTATTAAATGACTTAGTCTTAGGTATTGCGCTGTTATTGACTTGAGTGTGTTAATTCTGTAATCTTTCTGACACAGAAATTTGATTTCTATTGCGGAGTAAATATCTTGTTCCAGATTGAATTATGTTGAGCTTGATCCCAGAACTTCTCGCATGCAGGAGGTTCATGATTACTTGAAGAGTTTGTGCCCTAGCTTGCATATAACTAGGGGCGAATATGATGAAGAGTCCAAGTACCCAGAGACAAAGACTCTCACCATTGGACAATTCAAACTTGGTTTATGTCATGGTCATCAGGTTTGAGTTATATAATTTTTCTAGTCAAGATATTTTTTCCAGAAAGGTTGTTTACATGAGCCCCGTTGGTAAGGGTAATATAAAAATAAAATGACTAAAACTGTTAAATGGACCAAATTTGCTGAAGTTATGGTTTAAATTGTTGCTTGGGTTGAAATATGTAGAAGTATCCGAGTATCTAAAATACACTCCCAGAAATACATTGTATTTGGTAAACTAAAGTATGGACTATTCTGGTCTACATAAATGTGGCCAAATATGGCATGAAACAAACTCTTTGTGAAGGACTAGAACCGAAAGTGGGACGAGCAATAGGGGATAGAGTGATAACATATCAGTGAATTAGAGAAGCAGCTTCTGAAAGGTGATGGTAGAAGTGTTATTTCTTTTCATTTCAGCCAAAAAAGTTAACTTCTGCACTAAGGTTTTATTTATTAGTAAAACTATCAGAAAATTATGCCAGCATAGTCAATCTGTCAAAGAAGACACATAGTTTATGCTATCTGGTGAAATTTATTGTGAGGCACTAAAGAGAGGGATGTCTAATAGTGTGTAATGCTGGTGTGATTGTGAAGGTGGTTCCTTGGGGAGATCTGGACTCACTTGCCATGGTGCAGAGGCAGCTAGACGTGGACATATTGGTAAGTGGGCACACCCACCAGTTCAAGGCATATAAACACGAGGCTGGAGTTGTGATCAACCCTGGCTCTGCCACCGGTGCTTATAGTAGCATCACCTATGACGTGAACCCCAGTTTTGTTCTCATGGACATTGATGGTCTCCGTGTGGTCGTGTACGTCTATGAACTCATTGATGGAGAGGTCAAGGTCGACAAGATCGACTTCAAGAAGACTGCTGCACCTGCATCTCAACAATCCATTTGATTCTAATCATATCTGCTCAAACTGTCGCATGCTGTTTTTTCTCTCGTAAAGAGTTTAAATATGAACCTTTTTACCCAGTTTGATCAATATTAGGACGTGTTTTTCGTATTCAAACAAAGTGTAATTGATGCTACAATTATTACTAACAATTTTGGGAGTATGTTGCAATTCAGTCATCAACTTATCATGATACAACTTTATGGAGAAGGATATTTATAGATCAGCAAGAGGTTTAGCTTTCTTATGTTCTACTCTGTATTCTACCTTCACTATTTAATTCCTATGCCTTTAATTTTTGCAAAAAATAATGAATATATGGGTTCTCTATAGATATATGTACTCACGCTTATGCCAAGTTATCACTGGCTATTTTAGTTTACAACTGATCATGACATGAGGATGGGTAATTATTTTTTTTTGTTGAGGGAATGAGTAGTTGAATATATAGAATCATGGGGAAATATTTCTATGTTTAATTGGGCTCCTACGGTGAAACAGTTATAGATGGGCAACCATGTAATTCTCCATTGCATAAATGTTGCTGGTGCGTTGCATAGTTGGCAAGGTAAGAATTGTGTAAAGGATAATATACGAATTTGATTCCTAGCAATTACGTTTTGAGTCAACCATGTTAAACATAAGCACTTTGAAAGTACCAGATATAGATTTTATTTTTTGTAATCAATTTGTGATTACAGTTCAATTTATATTTTCTCAAGTGATTGTCTGGATATTTTTTCTATTTTTATAATGTTTTGTTCATCATGTCTAAATCCACAAATTATTGTGGTTAAAAATGAAAATTTAAAAGTGAAAAATGTTAGTGTCAAAGGTGAATTCTTGAAATTTATTTAGATAAGAAAAAATATTTAAAGGAAAAAAGTGACATTTTTTATTTATTTATTAAAAACTAGCCAAACACGCCTTTTATCTCTCTCTACTTCTTCTCTCCCTCTTGGGACTCCACGGCATATGGCCAGATAGCGCTTGAAGAAGGATCCGACGCTCACACCGAAACCCATCACCTCTCCCTCTCCGGAGCACTGTGTAAGGGTTTCATCTCAATCTCTCGAATTCCTTTCCGATCTATATTCCGGTCCCGATCACCGGCGAGACAAGAAAAATGTACGGATTCGAAGCGCTCACCTTCAACGTCCATAGTGGATATCTGGAGGCGATCGTGCGGGGCCACAGAGCTGGTCTGCTCACCGCCGTCGATTACAACAATCTCTGCCAGTGCGAGACCCTCGATGACATCAAGATGCACCTCTCCGCCACCGAATATGGACCTTACCTCCAAAACGGTCAGTTCAGCTATCTATTCTTAATTGTCATCTCCAGATTCAAATCTCAATTTCAATGTGATTGTGTTCAGTAACTTTCAGTAATGTTTGCTGGTTCGAGATTGATCTGGAGTTTATACTTCACGTGCTTTAGGAGAATTTAATCAAATCGTTCCTCTTCAGGATCAATAGGGAATTCTACTTAAGCGGATGTATTTTCTTGCTGATGGCTTCGAATGCACACTTTGATATGATTCGATTGCTATAATTATAGAATTCATTAGTCATTCGGGTGGCTGTTGATAAATGTGCAGTGATCCCTAATTCTAGATAGTTCATCTATTAGCTCTGTTTGCTTATCTATGATAAAACTGTTTTCAGGCGCTCACAGTTATTCTACCGACGACCTATTGTCGATCCTTTCTTGATGTGCGTTTTTTTGTAGTCCTTTTCAGAGATTCTAATGATATTTGTGCTTTTGTTGATCTCAGAACCCTCTCCTTTACACACAACTACGATTGTGGAGAAATGCACTCTTAAGCTTGTAGACGAGTATAAACACATGTTATGCCAAGCTACAGAGCCACTATCAACCTTTCTTGAGTACATCCGGTATATGAACTGTAACTTTCTCTTCTCTTTTATAAACCATTTTCCACATTTTCTTTACATTCTTGTGAATAAATCGGTACATGACTAATGTTAACTTTTTTTTTAAGTATTAGGGACCTGCCTTCATTAGTGACTCACTGCTTTAATGCAATCATTGCTCTTAGAATTTGACTAATCATTGACAATAGTGTATCATCTGCCTTCCGTGCATTATAACAAAAGTGGGGCAGATGTATAAAGATTGGAATACAAGATCTAAGTCTCTGTAGTCTTTTGTTCATCCAGCTTAACTTGTCCAGCGTTATACATGTAGACCTTTCAATATTGATATTCCTTATGGTTCAGATACGGCCACATGATTGACAATGTCGTCCTAATTGTAACTGGAACATTGCATGAAAGAGATGTTCAGGAATTGTTGGAGAAGTGCCACCCTTTGGGCATGTTTGACAGGTACTGTTCATAGCAAACATTTGATATCATGATGAGTTTTATGGGATCCTTAGTAATCTAGATATTACCAATTCTAATTTGTGTTGCTTATACAGCATTGCCTCCTTAGCAGTGGCACAAAATATGAGAGAACTCTACAGGCTAGTGCTTGTTGACACTCCATTAGCTCCATATTTCTCTCAGTGCATTACTTCTGAGGTAGCATAAAGTTTGCCTTTTTAAATTAATTTTACCTTATTTACCTAACTAATATGGAGCATCTCTTTATTGTTTTTCATATCTTCTCAAGTTTTGGCATTTTTTTGTCTAACTATAAGAATCTTGCGTAACCTCCTATTTGTAAAACTGAAGGGGTGGGGTGGGGGGTTGGGATACTATCTAAGTATTCAATTGCTTGTAGTACTTTGTGTATGCTTAAATAAATGCAACATCAAGATTTTCACATTTGTCAATACATAAAGCAAATCGTCAATAGTTCCAATTATGTTTTGGTAAAAATTATAAAAGTTGATGTTACAGATGTTTGTAGTGAGATGAATGTAACTAGATCCCGATTGACTATATTTTCTTTATGTATACATCACAAAATATAATAAAATGTGAGTGAATAGTGTTAAATCCTCCTCCATTGCCCAATATTTAAGAACGGAGGAAGTATTACTTTACATGTGGTTTGCCATTCTGCAGGACTTAGATGACATGAATATTGAGATAATGAGGAATACCCTGTACAAGGCATACCTTGAGGATTTTTACAAGTTTTGTCAGGTATCAACCAGATAGAATATCTAACATACCCATAATTCGTACTTTTAGAAGTTCACCTTTTTCACTTCGTCTAATAAGATAATTTTCAAATAGAAACTGGGTGGTGCCACTGCAGAGATCATGTCCGACTTGCTTTCATTTGAGGCCGACAGGAGAGCTGTTAATATCACCATAAACAGGTGTGTCATTTGTAATTTGTCTTTGATTTTCTTCTCAACAGTATGTTCAATAAATATACAATATTAGGATGATTGAACGGAATTCTTCTCCAACCTTTTACTATATCTTTTATGAAGTTATTTCTAAAACATCTGTTCTCCTATATCTGGATTCCTCTGAAGGCTCAGTACTTCCTCCCTTGGTAGTGTTGCCCTATATTTATGAGCATTTGATTTATGCTTTGATTGTTTTTATGTGGGTTTTATACAGCATTGGCACTGAACTTACCAGGGAAGACCGCAAGAAGTTGTATTCAAATTTTGGTCTACTGTAAGTATCATAATTTTGTTCTCTCTCTCTCTCTCTCTCTCTCTCTCTCTCTCTCTCTCTGTGCGTGTGTGCCTGTATTTCTTCTAATTTTTTGTTTTTATCAAATAGTTACCCCTATGGTCATGAGGAACTTGCCATTTGTGAAGATATTGATCAGGTATATGCATTCAATTTCATGCGCTTCCTGAGTTCCCGATCTCATTTGCTTTCTCCTTCTGTACAACTTCTCCCCACTTCCTCTTTTTCCATCGATAAATGTTTACTGTATTTGATGAACTGTGCTACAATGCCTGTTGTCTCACAAGAACTGTTAATGCTCCGGGTTTCTGTTTGGTCATCTCTATTTTTCCACAGTTTGCACTAATTTTCCATAGCACTTGTTTTTTTGTTTGCATGCTGCTGTAGGTTCGTGGTGTCATGGAGAAATACCCTCCATATCAATGTATATTTACTAAATTATCCTATGGGGAGAGCCAGATTCTTGACAAGGCTTTCTATGAAGAGGAAGTCAAGCGTCTATGCCTGGCTTTTGAGCAGCAGGTACGTTCATTTCTCAATTTGTCAAATGTCATGGTAAAACCGTAACATTGAAAATGTCACTTAACATAATCATTGGGAATAAGGTTCATAATTTAGGATGGACCCCAAGAAATTTGTGGTACCCCATCCTTTTGAACTACAACAAGCAATTTGATCCAAATACGCTTACACAGTGAGCATAACAACTTCAAGATTGGTTTGTTTTAACGAGCCCACCATCATGTTACGAGGCATGCTAAGCTCTACATATTAGACTTTATGCTATGTATATCATGTTCACTGTTATGCTAGAACCACAATTCTTAATAATCTTAAATATTCTGTTCATATTCCCGCATTGCATGCTTATCGTAATATAATGATATTTGTTTTTTTTGGGTATGTAGTTCCACTACGGGGTATTTTTTGCGTATGTGAGGTTGAGAGAGCAGGAAATCAAGAACTTGATGTGGATATCTGAATGTGTGGCTCAGAACCAAAAATCCAGAGTCCATGACAGTGTTGTTTTCATATTTTAATAAATTTTTCACAATACAAATTTGTATTCTTCATCATCATCCATATAATCTTCTTTCTGTAAGCTTAATTTGTTCTCCAAGGGCACCTTTCTGAGTTCATAATAATTATAGAAAGAGACATTGTTCCTCCTCCCCTGTAGCAATTGCTCAATAAGTTGATGTGTGTATAAGGTTGAATCCCCAAGTCGTTAATCTGCTGTTTGGTTTTATGATTTGTATCTCAATTTGTTGTTATTATTACTCTGTATTATCTAGTGTTGGTTAAAGCAACTATTTTTAAGGCATGAGCTTTGTGTCTCTTCATTTATATCTTACTTGAATACCCCCTATTGTTAGATCAGTTTAGGCAACGTTCTATCCATTTTTTTGCTTATTATTATTTTTGCTTATTATTTCTTCTTATTATAATCAGATCATATCAGTAATAATTTTAAATATTATTGCAATCAGATCAGAAGACCAGATCAGGCGAACAAAATGTAGCCTTAATGAAGTACTTATACAGAGGATTTGATAAAGGGGGTAGTCTAATTGATTTTAAAATATAACGTGAACTTCTCCCCATTTTACCTACGTCCTCTTTATCATTTTAATGTACTCGGGGTATCTCTTTTGGGAAGCATCATTATCTAATGGAATGCATTTGAGAGGATAAATGAGAGGTCTACTAAATGCATCCCAAAGCTTCATTGTATCATTGGACTTTGCTTTTGGAACTTTCATCCATTCCAATGATCTCATTATTAAATTACGGAGTATTTCTTAACAAGGGCGTGACAACATTTTGAAGGTAAAACATTGTCTCTATATATATTTTGTAGTGTTTTTCTATGCTTATAAACATGTCAAAATTGCTTATAAGCAGTTTTTAATTTATAAGTCAATTGATGATATGTTTCAGTGGATTTATAAGGTAACTTTTAAACTGCTTACAAATTTGAAAAAATAAATAGGTTTTAACTTCTTATTTTTAAGTCAATTTTTTCGTTTATCTGTTTTGACCGGATTTTTTACATAATTATCCCTCTATCTTTTGTTCCTCAAAACATTTGATATAAATTTTTTAATTTAATATCAATTTTCGAAAAACTGAAATTGAAAATAATTACAATCAAACATCACAAACAACAATGACAACTAAAATTTGGACCAAGAGTAATAAAATGTGGATGGGGGCATTTCTAGAATGAAATTGTAGTGATTTTGTTCGGGGGAGTGGTGTCAAGATATTAGATATAGCAATAGATATTATATAGATATACATAGATAAAAACAACACACGCCGTTTGAAAGAAATACGAAGTATTATACGTACTCCACATGCGCATTACTCTTAGAATGGAGAAATATGTCATGTAATGAAGAAAAACACATGTGCAACAACAAAAAAACAGTTTCTTATCAAATCTCAATACAGAAATGAGCCAATGCCAATGCTGTTTGAAGCTCATTTCCTGCTAATCCATTGTTGCCCTTCACTACAAAACATTCTTTCAGCCATAACAAGTGAAAGTTTTGATCAAGGGAGCGAACGATCAATCAAAATCAAGAGACCTTGAGTAGCTCATGAAAAGCTTCTTGAGGAATATCAACTGAGCCGACACGCTTCATGCGCTTCTTCCCCTCTTTCTGTTTCTCCAATAGCTTCCTCTTTCTAGTCACATCCCCACCATAACACTTCGCAAGGACATTTTTCCTCATGGCCGATACCCTAAACCACCAAAGATTTTTCAGATTGTGAACTTAACTCTTTAAACACTTGTTTTTACTAATTGAAGGATTATATATTTTCTGCTCAAACATAAGCAAATCAGAATACGTTTTCTTGAAACAAAATCCTGTTAACAAACGGATCCTTGGTTCTAGATAAGAGAAAGAAAATAAATACTCACGTTTCCCGGGCAATAACCTTTGATCCAATAGCAGCTTGTATGGTAATTTCGAACATTTGCCTGTAAAGAGAGAGATAGATGTACAAGCAACTCAAACAAACAAAAAAAATGAAACATACACAGGAGTTTCAACCAATAGACCTGTCTATGAACTTCTTCAGCTTATCCACAAGTTCACGGCCAACGCGTGGTGCTTTTGATTTATGAACAATAGTAGCCATTGCATCAACTGATTGTCCGTTTAAGAGGATATCAAGTTTCACTAAATCAGAGGCCTGATAGCTGTAAAAGCAGATGTGTTGATGAATATTAATTAAGAATGTATCTCATCAATGAATTTAGGAGTGTGCACTGAAAGGCCTATTTAATGGAAAAGTGCTCTTAGAGGAAGAAAAGTACATTCACTTCAAAAAGAAGCATTTGGCAGAAAAACAAAAAAAATGCTTTTAACAGAAAGAAAACACCTTATAATTATTGTTAGACTGCATCCCACATCGGAAGTCCAAGAGTAAAATAATCCGGTATATAAGCTCTTGAGTTAAACTAACTAATCGATTGGATTCAATCTTTTAATGTGGTTCAACCCAAGTGTCTTATTACCCAATCGAGTTGTCCATACTCATCCCAAATTCTATCAAGTCTTTAACTGTTTCACAATGGCCAACTAACCCAAGCACATCCCCATCAATTGAGTTCCAGATTTGGAGGAATAGTCGAGCATCATCCCTCAACCACACTTTCTTAGTAGTTGCATCCTTAGGAGGATCATCAGTCATATGATTGTCCTTGTCAGTACTTCGGAGATATAGTTTAATAGTCGTGACCCACTCCAGATAATTAGAGGAATTAAGTTTCCTCTCTGTGATTTTTGACATGACTGGAAAAACTTCAGTGATGACACTAGACTTATCACCCATTTCAATGGACTAAAATTTGAACAAAACCTGATCGGCAGAGGAAGAGAGAGCAAAAATCACCCACTGAATGTCCAAACTGAGTCTGCACAGGTGCTTAGATGACTCAGGCGACCCTGACAGTGATTTTTGACAGTGGATCTGACCAGAAATGGCGGGGCGTGAGGTCTCCAACGAAGGAGAGATTCTCCAGAATTGTTCTCCTGCAACGTGCGACTCCACCCACGGTGGCGGTGACGTCAGGCGAGCACCCTTAGAGATAGCGTCAAAATGGCAGAAGCCCCCCCCCCTTTTTTACAAATAATGAACCCTAACCCTAGAGCACACTGGCTCCGATACCATGTGACTCAGTTTGCATCCTCTGACTTATAAGAGCATTCTGGGGTGCACCATCAGAAGGCTCTATGGGTTTTACACTTTCACTACGTTGAATCCGTGAGTACCCATCCTGTAAAGTGGGAACCTCAGAGTCTGCAAGGACCCTTTCTCGGGCAGCCTCAAATCTCGGGGCCAAGCCTGCCAAGAAACTCATTGTTGCCATCTGCTCTCGCTGTTGTTGCTGAGTTTTGACATNCCCCTTTGATTAACACGTTGAAGTTTCCTACAATCACGCTTATAATGTCCCTCTTTGTGACAATAATGACAGATTATGGGCTCTTGATTCTGTGGGGTGCCACTACGAACGAATGACTTATATGGTTGCTTTGGTGACTCAGTTTGCATCCTCTGACTTATAAGAGCATTCTGGGGTGCACCATCAGAAGGCTCTATGGGTTTTACACTTTCACTACGTTGAATCCGTGAGTACCCATCCTGTAAAGTGGGAACCTCAGAGTCTGCAAGGACCCTTTCTCGGGCAGCCTCAAATCTCGGGGCCAAGCCTGCCAAGAAACTCATTGTTGCCATCTGCTCTCGCTGTTGTTGCTGAGTTTTGACATTTGGAGTGAAGGGCATCAATGAATTTAAGGCCTCATATGTCTTCTTGAAGTCCATGAAATATGCTTGAAGAGATTGATCCTGCTAGTCTGCCCGATAGAAAGCCTTACATACGTCATAGATACGAGTAAGATTTCCCTTACCTGAATATAGAAATTCCAAATATTCCATTGAATTCAATCTTTTAATGTGGTTCAACCCAAGTGTCTTATTACCCAATCGAGTTGTCCATACCCATCCCAAATTCTATCATGGTATCAAAGCAGGTTTTGGCCTACCTCGTTTGTCAAGGTGTCTGTCTAGACGTTCATTCCTAGCGGCCCGTTAGTCTTTAGCCCAGTTGTCCGTATGGAGTATGTATCCAACGGCCTGTGGCCTGTTTAACACGATTGCTCGTCTGGAAGTCCATACCTAGCGGCTCGTGGTCCTTTAAGTGTTGGCGCTCAAAAAAAATTAAGGGAATGAGAGTTCATTTGCAAGTGGTCAACCGGTTAGATTCAAAATGGCCCGGTTGTCCACTTGAGGGGGAGTGTTAGAGTGCATCCCACATCGGAAGTCTAAGAGTAAAATAATCCAGTATATAAGCTCTTGAGTTAAACTAACTAATCGATTGGATTCAATCTTTTAATGTGGTTCAACCCAAGTGTCTTATTACCCAATCGAGTTGCCCATACCCATCCCAAATTCTATCAATTATATTGATGAAATCAGCACATTGCGGCTTTTTCAAAAGACCAAGCGCTTGAACAAAAAAAAGAAAAGCGCATATGATAAAATAACTTAATAACTCATACCATAGTTATCCAAGACCAGATCTAAGTAGACATTAGTGACTATGGGGGAGTTGTGTGGGAGAGATTTGGAATCGGGACTCACTCAGCATCCTCGTAATCAAATGTAGCATAACCCGATGTTATGCTTTTCAATTCATTGTAAAAGTCGACAACAATTTCCCTCAATGGTAGACGATACTTCATAAGCGCTCGTTGACTGCACAAGTAGACATTGGAAACAGTGATATGTACCACAAATGCAAAACTACTTTTCACACACTAAAAAATTCTGCCTAAAAAAGTCAAATTCCTAGGGGGCATCACACAAAACACCAAAGATATCTTATTCCTGGCGTAGAAGCCCCATTCTTGAGACTCTCAGACATGAATTAATCTAGGAATTAAAAAAGTACCTATCAATGAATGAGTACTCCAGTTGATCCCCTCGACGTTCAGCACATAGAGTTATAATAGGACCCACAAATCTTCAAGTAGAGGAAAATAAAAGTGAATAGCGCTTGGCTATTATTTGATATTCCAAGATACAGCAAATTGGCATAACGCCAAAATCACTTAGTATTGTGAGAAAAAAATCAAGATGAAGTACAGCTTGCAGTTCATGAGAGCTTACTCACTAGGAATAATAATTGTGGCTAATACGGTAGGTTCCCAGCAAGAAATTAATCTCTGTTTAGGATTTGAAGGAATGTTTGCAGGATTCTGAACTTCTATTTTGCTGATAGACAATATTAGAAAAGGCTGAATCAGGTTAATAAACTGAAATTAAAAAGGTAGTTACAAATATTTTCTGTGCCACTCTACCTTCCATCTGAATACTCAAAAATATATGGAACAGTTGGAACAGTGGAAATGACGTGCACACCATGTTCCTGTCATTAAAGATACAAAACAATGATAAGAGGATAAGAGTACAGTGAAATGCAAAGACCTGTAAAGCTATAAGTTGAGAGAAGATCATCCCTCTGTCTCTATTTATTTATTTTCATGGACCCCTCTGTTTAATTTTTAATAAAAATTGGAAGGTAGCAATAGATCAAGTCTCTTCTTGTGTTTACTTATAAGCTAGCTATAACTGTTGCCAGCTACAGTTGATAGCAACAAAAGGTAACTCGTTAACCAGGACAATAAGTTTACAACTAGTTTATTGGTGCTGCCAAATTTAGTTGGCCTTTTATGTTATGTACTGGAAATCTTTGCATCAAAGAACGATGTAGTTTTTGTGTATTGGTGTTTATCAATTTCCATTCATCATTTCACCACATTCTCTATTTTCTATCATCCTTCCTCTAGCCCATAAATAGATGCAACAAAAATAGTGATGGAAAACATAAATATGTGTGCGTTATGGCAATGTTGATGGCTTGATGATCAGGCGAGACACAAGATTTAAGTGTAAAACCTGCTCAAGACGTTGATGAAAAACATCCATGTGAAATAAACCTAAGAAACCACACCTGTTAGCCGGGATAGAAGAAAATAAGTTCAAAATGTTGAAGAAATAAAAAAGAATCTCAACAAAGTTCCTAATGCAAGGTATGTGCAATATCCCGCACCTGAATCCCAGACCTAGAGCTGTGCTGCTTTCTTTAGCAACAGATACACTGGCATCATTGCAAGTCAATCGCTCTATTGCATGGCTGAGAGCCTCAAAATCAGACCCATCGGCGGGATATAGACCAGAAAAAACCATGTGTTTGGCAGGTTTGAAACCTTAATATACATACAAAAATTACACAGGTCAGCAAAGGACTGAGCTAAACAAAAATACGAAGGATGTACAACAACCCAGTAAAATCACATGAAAGGAGGGGTTGGGGAGGGTGTGTGTACGAAGACGTAAGCCCTACTTGAAAGTAGAGAGAGGGGTGGATTAATTCTGAAGATAATAATTATTGATTTACAGCTTTAACCTTTTAAAAAGAAAAATGCAAAATGGGTCCCACAATGGAAAAAGATGAAAAGATAAATAAAGAAAAAAGTTTGAAAATAAGAAAGTAGAGTTTAAATTAAGAAAGTGAACATATTTTTGGGATGGACTAAAAAGGAAGGTGTCTCTAACAAGTAACAAAAAGTGAGGCGATTTTAAGTTTCTGAGAAATACCTGGAAGAGGCTCTACAGTGGTCCGACTATGATAAAGAGTGTCCCCAACACGAGCCTCTTTAGTTGAACGCATGCCACTAACAATGTATCCTACTTGACCAGTTAGAAGAACTCCTGTGGGCACTAGTTCTGGGTGCATGATACCAACATCTAAAACCTCATAAGTTTGGGAGGTTGCAGCAGATGAAATTTTATCACCTTTACGCAGAGCACCATCAACAATTGCCACGTGGCAGATAACTCCTCTGTACTCATCGTAATATGAATCCAACAAAAGCATGCGCAATGGTGAAGTTATATTTCCCGGAGGAGCCGGTATTCTCTCTATGACAGCCGGAAGAATGTGCTCTAGACCAAGACCAGTTTTTGCAGATGTTAACAGTGCATCACTTGGGTCAAGGTCGAACATGGATTTTAGTTGTGCTTTCACACGGTCTGGATCAGCTGTTGGCTGATCAATTTTGTTTATGACAGGAATGATTGCCAAGTTTGATTCAAAAGCGAGATAGAAATTTGCAACAGTCTGTGCTTGCACTCCTTGGGCTGCATCTACAACAAGAAGAGCACCTTGACACGCAGCCAAAGATCTTGATACTTCATAGCTAAAATCCACATGCCCGGGTGTGTCAATCAAGTTCAACAAAAAATCAGTGTCACTTCCACGGAAGTTGCCATGATGGAACATCGTTGCTGTCTGAGCTTTAACAGTAATTCCCCTTTCTCTTTCTACCTAGGACAATTCACATTGCTTCATTTGCACATTTCTTACACTGCAGGCAATTACTCAAATGACGAAATAAGCTAATTATAGTGTTTCAATTGTAAAAGTTTGAGCCAACAGCTTGTGGTATAATGAAAGAAGATTGATTCCCCTTAAACAAGGTCTCACATGCTTGTGACTTAGCAATACATGTTGGGGGACTTTCCCTGGATGAGATTGTATAGCAGCTCGATTCCTAAATGTGCCTCGATATTTTACCTTAAAGCCTAATTCTTGTTTTCACTCTCCTCCACAGGGAAAGCTTATTTTATCACCTCTTCCTATCCGCCTAGCTAATCCAAACAATGTATTTTTGTTTCCCTTGTCTCTCCTCCCATCTTTTACACTCTGTTAATGCAATGAAAGTAGGGGCTTCCCGAGGTTTGTTTCGACAAAGGAGAATACAGAATGTAGAGTGACCGCTTATCTTCTATTTGTGTCTAGGGAATAAGTGTCTAGGGAATAAATGTAGAGTGAGGTGAGTAGAATGGTTGGAAGCTCTCGATCCTTCCATTCTACCACATCCTACCCAATGAAATCCCACAAGGTGGGTCTGGGGGTGGGTGCACGGGTATCTTACCCCAACCTAAAGCGGTAGAGAGATTGTTCTAAAAGACCACCGGCTCAGCAGAATGTACAGAATGCAAAGTAACAACTATGAACAAATAGAAAGCAATAGTAAGGACGAATCAAATATGAAAAAAGAGAGACTAGAGAGAGTGTAGAACATTTGTGGTTCATGATGTTTTCTATACTCTGCGTAAGTATTTACTACACAGTTTTCATTTTCTTAATCTCTTGCATCCATAGCTAAGTTTCTTTGGTTTAAGCTTTGCATGAATATCAATTACACTTTCACTTTCTAAATTTCTTCCACCTGGCTAAATTAGGAATCATAAATTGGGAAAGAGGAAGGCCATGTTATCTTCAACTTATTCTTATTACTTATTACTTTTTCTTATTGGAATCAGTTCAAATCAGATCACACTAATCAGATAAGAAACAACTTTAAACATAACTACATCCAGATCAGATCAAAACTTATTATAATAAAATCAGAACCGTTCAGATTAGATGAAGAGAACGTGGCCGAAGTATGGTCGGTGTATTTATTTTTCATCATAACAAAAATAGCCAAAATTAGATGTTCATGGAATGTGCTCAAAATTAGCATGCATTAAACTCTTATAGAAAGGGAACTGTACTCCAAATGCCTGGAAAGTGCAACCCCAAGAAAAGCTTTAACCTTCATCTTCTTCTAGATAAGATGTTATTCCAGTAATCTAAACACATTTGAAATAATAAATAACAGCAACTCATAGAAAGGTAACGTGGCAATCTTAAAAACTACCAAATCTAATAGAAAATGAAAATAGCAAAAATACTCCATATAGCATTAAGAGTGGGCGCATAGAGAACCTGCAACTTATCCAGGTACTGAGGTTGACCATGGCCTTTCCGGATAGTTCCGGTGAGCTCCAAGAGACGGTCTGCAAGGGTTGATTTGCCATGATCAACATGGGCAATAATCGAGAAGTTTCGAATGTTGTCAGGAGGGTACTGGGTCAAGTCTATGTCAGAAACCTCCCTATTGTTCTGGCGAGGACGCGAGCAGAATGGGGCACAAAAATGGCATCCGAAAGGGGAGAGAATGGTTCGAGAGTTCTCACTGACATTATTCGCTCTGCTTGTGAAGAACAATGAAGAAGCGCGCAGTGAGGTTAGCTTCGATCTTAAGGCTCCTTTGAAGGAAGTCATGATCGAGGCTGAACGGTTGAGGTTTACTTATCTCGTTCGCCGTCCGGCCATAGTTCACGTCCTGGACTAGAGTGCTCGGGAAATGGCTAATCAGAGAAGAAGATGCCTCCTGAACAGAAAGCTAGGGCTCCAAGCCTCCAAAACCTGGTTAATTTTCAATTTAACACGGAAGAACAAAACTATTTTAATTTCAACTTAAATCGAATAAACAAATCATTATTTTTATGGAAAATACCAAGATACCCCAAAGGTATATCTAAACTCTAAAGTACACCATACTTTCTTCATCATACAATTTTGATAGAGATAAAAGGATTAACGAATAGATAATGTATGTATAGTGAGAGAGTGATCAACGAATGGATACACTTTTAGTGTACCTTTATTATTACTCTTATTTCATATATGACGCTACTGTTGGTATTGGCCTCAGTTAAAGTGACAGAGTTACTATGTTTTGGGAAACACTTATGATGTTTCATTTGTAATCTCATAAACTTCTAGTAAGTTTCCACTTTGACCTGACTTAAAAATCTAGCTTTCTTAAACACCCATTTTGTGTCTCTCAAAATCGTGCATATCTGAATAGTTGAGCCATTTGGGAGTATATGAAGTCGGCATGGAATTGTTAGCTATATCGAAGATTGGTCTCCCCTTCAATGTTGTAAGTTGAGAAAAGCCAAAGGGTTATGAACTTGTTCTCTTCATTTAATCTAATCTAATTCCATTATAGATATAACAACAATAACAACCAAGTAAAATCCAACGAAAGTAGGGTTTAGGGAGAGTGTGTGTATGCAGAACTAACCCCTACTTGGAAGTAGAGAGTCTGTTTTCAAGAGACTCCCAACACGAGTAGCACAAAAGCACATAGTACGCATAACAAAAACATAAAGTAGGCAAAGAAAGATTAAAAAAATGAAGCAGGCATTGTTAAGCACAAAAGCTACCGCTATACTACGCAACTATCCTTAATCTATCTCTCCGAATTGAACACTCCAGCCTAAAATTATATTCTCGATGAGGGCTAAAGTCTAATATCTTGACTAACCATGTATTTACATGTGCTCTTATGTCTACCTCTTCCCACATTCATGCCCACCACTGAAAGTCTCTCACATCTTCGCGCGAGAGCCTCAACACTACACTATTTCACTTGCTCAAACCACCTCAGCACACCTTCTCGCAACCTACTCTCCAGATAACCCACTCCCAACTGCTCGTGAATAATGTCATTTTGAATCCTATCCAACATCGTTTTCTCACACATCCAACGTAACATCCGAATTTATGCAACATGGAGCTGGTGGATATGAGTTTTCTTAATAACTGGCAGCGCTCTGCTCCGTATAACATGGTTAGTCTCATTATAGACCTGTAGAACTTCTCTTTCATCCATGTCATACCTTCTTGTCGCAAAGTACCACTGAAGCCATCTTTCCACTTGGCTCAAGCAGCTCCAATACAATGAGCAACATCCCATCTAATTGCACATCAGCCTGGACAATCAAACCCAGATACGATGAACAACATCCCCATCTCATTTCACTATAGATGCATTTAAAGTTGTTTTTTATTTGATCAAATATAATATGATCTGATTTTAATAAAAACATAAATAATAAGTGTAACACCCTAATCCGTCCAGGTCTGCAGCCCCTTTCGGACTAACGTATTAATTTGGAAATCGTAATATTCATCATAAATATTATTCAATACATAACTGTAGTAAAATACGGAGTGTTTAATAATAATGCGGAAGCAAATTTAAACCATTCCACCACGACAGTCTCGTCCCTTCCGCTATCACGAATATGCCAATCACTCATTCTGCCTACCTGCGTGTAGCAAATAAAACACACTATAACTCAACGATGAAGCTAAGTAAGCATATATAAAGCGTCGAACATCCACATAAATTGAATCTCAATTTACAAACAACCATTTAATATCATGCACACAATATATGATTCATTCATGATATTCTCAATATTTTTATTTCAATATCTTAACATTCAACATTCATATTCAATATTCAATATTCAACAATATCTTTAAACTATGCTTAGTCTAAGGTCAATTCTAGTTCAAGGTATTTATATCCAACTCTTAAGTTATGTCATTAGTTTAAGGTACATATATTCTGATTGATTTACCAACACTTAAACTAGCTTTCGTTTAAGGTACAAATTTAGAAAACCGAACAGTAGAATACTAACTGTCGGGTTGGGTGGTATCCCCAAACGAGTGTCTCTAGTTTGGTTTGTGGATCCCGAACGTACGTTTTTACCCTAGGTCACCGAATATACATATTTATACCCGCAAGGTCCAATCTAATTTGAGGTCTATCTTGGAGGTTTTCTAGATAGCCTTAACAATACAACTCATTTTTCATTAATTCATTTATTTTGAATCTTAGTTCAATCATTCATAATCATTATTTCATTCAGAATAATTATCATCATTAATCCATAATATTCATTATAATCAAATTCAACCAATCATCATAATATCTAATAACAATAAGCGACCTATCGTTGAGTGTTAGCACCCTAACTTACCGTCATGCATCACGTAAGGTCCTTTTAGTTGTCAAAACACCATTTTTATTCTAAGAAATCATCTTTATATTAACCACAATTGATTGGTATCAAAAATATGATTTTTGGGTTTGAAAATAACATTTTAGAAGTATTTTCGTAGCAGACAGGTTGGGGGATCGATCCAGCACTTTGGATCGATCTTCCGTAGAGAAACTACTCATTTGGATCGATCTAGGAGGTATGATCGATCCTCTCCAGGTGTTTTTAGCTACTGTTCATCGTCTTCTAACTCGCGACTCCAATTTTGAAAATTCCGTTTTTAGTTTCCAAACTTCAATTAAACTATATAGAAATGTTCTCCAATGTTCATAAATCATATTGGTATCATTAACTCATGGTATTAGCATCAAATTCAAGGTTTATGATTTTTAGTTCTTCAAACATGTCAAACTCAAAACTTGACCAAATGACCATTTATGAACGTAGAAACGATCTATACGAACATTCTAGTTATTAGATATATTTAGTGCTTACCTCAAAGCTTAATGAAGGTTTTGAAGATTTTCCGGCGAATCTTCCAGCGACAATTACTCTCTACTCCGGCGACCTCGCACTATTATGACATCACCACTTCGTTCTTCTCACTCCCATTAACAAAATAGATACAAGGCTTGTTTGAAATGGTGGAGTATTGAACAGATGAATGTGTCCTTTATATAGGGAAGGAATGAAGGAAGATGGTGAAGAATTATGCGTCACCTTTCCTGTTTAAGCGACTGAGTGGAGAATGAGGCTGATTTCTACGAGTTTTAAACGCAAGTCCCTGATTGGACTAAATTGGTTCCAGTCGGAGAACACTTTTTAGTCCAACTTTATCTGAATTGAAATCCGATTAAACCGTTGGGATCAGACAGTTAAACTCTACACAACAATATGATTTTCATTATTTATTGATAAACTTTATAGATCACATATTTTTGAGTCATTCTCAGTAATTAATTAATTATCAATTAATTAATTCTAATAGACCTATTTTCGTGGCGTTGCAATAAGAATAAGTTGAAAAGAACAAACACTAACTTTGGATAGCTTATAGAGACTCCGCCTTTCTTCTTGATGGGTTTCAAAAGGTGAATCTGGTTGATCTTGGATATTGTTGAATAATCATATATAAATAACAGTATTCTCTGATTGACTTGTGTGTTTTGATCTATGTTCTTTCTACATAGAGGTGCGAACAATAAAAAACATTCCTTCTCTTAATTAATGCGCAAAAGTTTCGCGACACATTATTCTTTCTATCAACAACAGATCTCGAGAAAAATAAAGAACATCATTAATGATCACACGAACTAAAGACATATTCTCATCAACTTACTCCCAATACTTAATATATTTTTATTTTTATCAATATCAAATCAAACAAGAAAAAACCAGATTAAAAAATAAATGGGAAAGTTATCCAAAATAATCATAACTTTGCATGGTCTTTCATAAATAATCTCAACATATCACCGTGATATATAATAATCCCAACATTATTAAAATTTGTGAGTTTTGGGTCACCATTAAGTTTCTAACGGTGAGTTAACAAAAATGCATGTTTTACGCAACAAAATGAAAGTTAGGTTTTTTTAATAATTTTTTGTTTTTTATTTTTTTTGAAATTTTCATTTAAAATTTTAAAATTACTTTCTACCTCCATTTCTTCTTCTTTTTTTAAAGATTATTCTCACCAAAGAAAAAAAATAAAAAATTAGATACAAAAAATAATGAAAATGAGAAAAATAACTAAAATCATACAAAATTAATGAAATAAATAATGTAACCAGTAGAAAAAAACTGGAACTGGTAAGAATTAAAATAAATATATACAAAGTGGTAAATTTAGCATTTTACGCACTATAGAGTCTTAGTGTACTACTTATTTTTTAAAAGAACAGGCCGTCCAGTAATATTGAAATTATTCTAGATATTTGTTTCTAAAAAATAAGAAGTGGTACGTTAATACTTTGTATATTGCGTAAAATATTGAAAATTGCCACTTAATATATTTTTATTTTATTTCTTACCAATTTCAAGTTAGTTTCTATTGATTACCTTATTTATTTTATTAACTCTGTATTGTTTTAGTTATTTTTCTTATTTTTGTATCTATTATTTTTATTTCCAAAGTAAGACTAATCTTTAAAAAAAGAAAAGGAAATGATGGAGCTAGAATGTAATTTTAAAACTTTTAATGAAAATTTCAGAGAAAAATTAAAAAATAAAATTTCATAAAACAAAATTTCATTTTGTTGCGCAAAATTTCATTAAAAAATAATTTTTAATGAAATTAAAAAATAATTTCATTAATTTTTTAATGAAATTAAAAAATAAAATTTCATTTTGTTGCGCAAAACATACTCTTTCCATTAACCCGTTGTTAGAAACTAACGACGACTCAAGACTCACAAATTTAATAATGTTGATGTTATTATAAATCACATTGAAAGAAAGATGAAATTATTTTTGAAAGACCATATAAAGATAGAATTATTTTAGATAATTTTTCTAAAATAAATTTAGCCAAAAGAGTTATTACTCCGTTTTTTTTTACCGTTGCAGCTAGTTTGGGAAAGCTAAAAATAGCTCCACTTGGGATCTGGCCTGGGCCCGCCAGAAGTGTGTGTATATACGCACGAATCTTCTGTTCCCTGGCTTATATACCACGCAAATTGCATTTTCTGATATTTTCCAAAAGGAGCCGATGAACTGCGTAGAAACAAGTCTCCAGCTGCCGATCGTCAACGCTCATCCCTAACCAGTCGATTTCCTTGAAATTCTTGCCGCTCTTGCTCTCAGGTAACGATTCCTCTCATCTTTCTGCTATAATTCATGATGTATCGCGAATTGCTGCTGGAAAATCACAGGAGCCCTAATGAGTCAAGGTGCCTTGGTCTGAAATGAAATATATCATATATGGAAACCGTATGTCTTGATTTTGAATGGCTTGTCTTGGATTTAGGGTTTTTGTTGTGTTCTTCCATGGAATCAATGGTTGTTTGAAACTTTGAATGACGGAATGTTAGGATTGTAAATTATTATATGTAATTGTAAACTAGGCGGTAAGGATGTCAACGCCAGCTAGGAAAAGATTGATGAGGGATTTCAAGCGCCTGCAGCAAGATCCACCGGCAGGCATCAGCGGGGCTCCTGGCGACAACAACATCATGCAATGGAATGCTGTTATATTTGGGTATAACCTTAAAGCTTTATTTGTATTTTCTCTTTGTTTTTCTGGACGTGTTGTATGGCTATACACAAAATAGTACTATGTATGCATCTGCTTTCTAGAGATTCAATCTCACAATGCTTACTCTCATTTTTGGTTTTCAATTTCAGTCCTGACGACACACCTTGGGATGGAGGTAAACCCTTTATTTTTTTTAGAGATTTTTCCTTTTGTTTTATTTGATCTGTTAAGATTTTGGACGATAACATGTACATGGACCAGGGATTTTGACTTTGGACCACGCCCTTGAGTCATTGATTAATTGTGCATATAACTCCTAGAAACTTGTTATCTGCATTTAACTACTCCATATTAATTGTCCTTGTGTTTTCCTACATGTCTTTATATCATTATGTAACATCCTTTTTTTGTAGTAATCGTTATATTCTCTGCGTCCTATAATTAGGTCTCATCTGTTTGTTTCATGAAACATAAGAGAAGGTGAAGTTATGGGGTTGGAATTTATGAGGAAGTGAGGAACTTAAGAGTGTAAAATCGTGTGGTTGAAATTTATGCACATTAGAGAAACAAAATAAACCACACAATTTTTTCTTTAGAAAGAACGGAAATTTTATTTTGGGACATTCAAAGAAGGAAGATGGCACTTATATATGGGATTTGGGGGGGGGGTCATATTTTAAATCATTGCACATACACAACGCATAAAGCGTATTTGCCGTTGCACTGCACAATTCCCTTAAAAAAATTAAATTACGGTGGCATACTTCATAAGCTCAAATCTCTACGTAAAAGATCTCAAAGTTCAATCTCTCCTTTTGTCATCCTTTAATTTATAGGAGACTCACATATCATAATTTTAAATTAATATAATGCCTATCTCAGTTGCACTGCATTCTACGTATTATTTTAGATTTTCGTTAAAAAACAGAATATATTCAAGTAGCCTACTGGCTATGCCCAAGAGACCAGAACTCTGGTAATAAGGTCTCAAAGTTTGATCTCACAGTCTGACGTGCTACACACAGAGTACTCTTCTAAATTCTAATCTCAAGTAACTTATTTTGAACAAATCAAGCAACCAGGGGAAATCCGGTAATTCACACCCGGTCAAAGAATTTACCTAGTTTGGTAATATATGTGAATTGTGATTCCTTTCTTTACGATCCCTTTCCTATTCGCAGGAACATTCAAGTTATCACTGCAGTTCAGTGAGGATTATCCTAACAAGCCACCAACAGTACGGTTTATTTCCCGAATGTTCCATCCTAACAGTAAGTTGCCTAACTATTACTGTGGCACCGTGCAATTGTTTATAAGTATTTTGATTTTTAGATCCTTAGCGACCTACTATCATTTTGACATGAGATAAAGTTCATGCTTTTTATTGATGCCGATCATCATCTACATCTTGGTGCACATTAGCCAAGAGGTTCTTTGGTTTATTCATCTAAATATGTTTTTTGTAACTATTTACTGTTTGGATACTTTAAATTTCTCTAGATCTGAACAGAAAATTGATGATAGTCTTATTTTGTCCATGTAAGTATGTTTTTTGGAATGCAAGTGCTCTGAAAAATGTTGGTCTATTTGGATCTCATATGCCTTTTCTGGGGAAGATTTTGAGGACCTTATCACTATGACTTACACAGTTACACCCATTTACCCACCTTATGATATTCATATTGAACAACGCTAGTTGCACCAAATTTGAATCAATCAACATGGTTTATGTGGTTAATAATAACTACCTCCATACCAAATTAATGATTACATTTTGGTTTACGATATTTGATTAAAGTTTTTTTAGTTCAAGTTAAAATAGGTGTAGAAATAAAAAATAAAAAATGTACTCCCTCCATCTCTCAATGTTCTTCCAAAGTTGACCCGGCATGCATATTAAGAAGAGTTCAAAGTAATCTTCTTTTCTAAGTGGTATATGAGCCTCTCTTTATCCATTTGCGGTCTGCAAGTATTGCATTATATTACAACAACAAGAATCTAGAAAATTCCCACAAATGGGGTGTCAGGTGTGGGTGGGTGTATAGACGAGACATTTTCTGAAAGATCCTAGACTCAAGAACAGTAAACACTGGTCACTGAACTCCAATAAAAAAGGAAAGAAACTCCTGCAAGTGAGTGAAAATACGAACACATAAAAAGGCCACACAAAAGACACCCTACTAGACGTAGCTAACCTTGAGATATAGGCCACACAACATACACCGTACTAGACGTAGCTAACCTTGAGAGCCCTTTATACACAGAGTGATAGAACCACTTCTACGTTATAATTTAGCCCAATCTGCAACTGTTCTCATTGTCATCAAAACTAGGAAGTCTTGTCTAATCATCTCACCTCAACTCTTCTTGTGTCTACCTCTACCTCTCAGGACCTATACAACCAGCATCTCGTACCTCCTCACAAGAGCATCTGTGCTCTTCCTGTGTGCATGCCTAAACAACCGTCTCAGTCTCGCTTCACACATCTTATCACCCACATCTACAGGAGCCACTTCCACATTGTCCTGGATTTTTCGTTCCACGCCATACAATACACACTACATCCGCACATCAATTTAAGCATCATCATCTTCTGCACTTGGGGGTTCTTAACTGCCTAAAACTCAGTAGTCAGTTCCATATGATATGGCCGATCATACCATTGCTCTATAAAATTTTGCCTTTGAGGTGTGATGGAATAAATCAAAATGGATCTCTAAACTATCTGCGCTTCTTTAATTAATGAAGTAGCAGTTAGTCAAGCAATGCAACTTTTGACGTTGAGCCGGGGGTCTCTTTGGAAACAGCCTCTCTACTTTCAAGTAGGGGCAAGGTCTGCGTACACACACCCTCCCCAGACCCTACTCTTGTGGGATTTAACTGGGTTGTTGTTGTTGTTTTGTTGATTTTGTGATATTAATCGTACGGAGTATTTTTTGTAAAATAAATATGACATTCATTTTTTTAAAAAAAATTGAACTAAAAACTCTTGCAATTTGATTGATTTCTTAAGATCGACAAATGGTAATTGTTAGAGTATAACACCTTTCATGAGTTTCAGACCATAAACTTAAGCCTATTTTGTTTCCACGGTTTGGGTCTGCCCACTTCTTGTCTAGCCTTGTCCTGACTGAGGGTATGTGTTAAGCAATCCACATTGATGAGTTATTGGTTCATAATCTATGTTTTGAAGCCTGGCAAATCTTCACCTCTTTAGGATCCTTTTGGGTGGAGCTAGGCAATCACTAACAAATCTAAAAAAATTAAGAAATAAGAGGCCAAAAGCATCCTCATGTGCCGACATATAGGCTTGTGGCCGGGACTTTCCAGGGAGCAGGTGGTGTGTGATTGTGTGAAGGCGTTTGCCATGGACCTGACATTTGAGGGACCAAAGTGAGGTTTAGAATCAAGGGGTTGTGTTTGTTTTTCAAAACACTAGTGTGATTCATTGCTGAAAAAATAGACTGGGCTAGGGTTTTGGGAGCATTGTTTTTGAAATGTTTTATAGTTAGGCTCTGAAACCAATACGAGTCTTATGTCTCATAACTTGAATGATTGAATTATTTCTGATGATTTATAATGTCTGTTAGGCCTGTATAGAGAAATACTCGGCTTAAACGTAATGTCGTAAAACCCAAGGGTTTCTAAACTAAGGTTACTATATTTATGCAGTTCTATACATTTTTTCTACTTTCAACTATTAGAATTTAGAAGCTTTAAATGATATGATGTTTTGTATATTTTGTTTCCTTTAATTCACCTATGCAGCATTTATTTTTTTTGGGGGGGGGGGGGTGCAACAACTGGAGAATGGGGCATGTCAAAAAAGTTTTTTTGAGGCTATTTGTTTCTTCAATGCTGTCTGTGGTATTAGACTAGTTTCCGTATATATATTTTTAACTTATCAAGTGAATTATAATAATGTGTAGTCTTGCACCTTGATGTTTTCTTGTGTCATTTAAAAAATTCTGTTAGTTTATGCTGATGGAAGCATTTGTTTGGATATCCTACAAAATCAATGGAGTCCGATATATGATGTAGCCGCTATACTTACTTCAATCCAGGTGTGTGTTAAGGCTGTTTAACATCAGAAATCATACCTTTATTTACCCCTTAGCCCCAACCCTCTTCTGCTACCTTAAAGTGCTACTGTAATTTAAGATGACAGTACTGCTGCATGTTATTACCTTTGAAGGTTGGAAATGGGTTTGTTTATATAAATGTTTATGCTTGTGTTTGCCTGCATGAAATCTTAAAATGGTTGAATGGCTTGTATAGAATATACTATTATACTCTCTTTGACCCAAATTAAACTACTCTCTGTCCCTAAATAACATCCAACTTTCCTTTTATATCCATCCCAAATAAAAGTACATTTCCTTTTTTGGTAAAGAAAACATGGCTATTATTATTTCCCTCTTTTAAATCAATTCCAACTACAAACTTTTCAACACTTTCTTAAAGACCATGGCCGGTCAAGGTAGACTTTTAGGGCCTGTTCGGACTGAAAAAAAGAGCTGGATGTTGGAAGAAACTGGAAGAAACTGGAAAGAATTGGAAAGAAACTGGAAGAAACTGGAAGAAACTGGAAGAAATTGGAAAAACTGAAAAAAATTAAAAGAAACTGAAAAAATTGGAAAAAATTGAAAAATCTTAAAAAACTTTTTAAAAAAATTATATGTGATTTTATATTATTCTCATTCTGATTATTGTTTTTATAAATTATTATTATTACTATTATTATTATTATTGTTATTGTTATTATTATTATTATTATTATTATTCTTGTTGTTGTTGTTGGTGGTAGTGTTATCACGTTATCTTAATGATTGTCTTTAAGATAAAAAATATTACGAGTATTATTTTTCATATATAAAAAGCTAGTTTAAAAAAATAATTAGAATATAAAATTAGCATAAATATTACACTTCTTGGGTCATTTTTTCTTTTTTAAAATGTAGTTTTCTCTTGGTTTTCATAATATTATTCTTCCAGGCCCTTAAATGTAATTTACCTTATATTAATTTTAGATTAAAAAATATTTTATATAACTATTTATCCATAATTTTTAAAATAGTTTTCTAATTTTTCATTTAGATTAATATACAAAAAAACGGTATTATTCATATTAAAAAGTTGAAGAAACTGGAAGAATGAATGTGAATCATAAAAATAGTGAGATGAAAAAATGAAATAATTTATAAACTATAGTTATGAACGTAAAAGTTGTAATTAAAAAAAGTTGTAATAATAATAATAATAATATTTTTTAGAGTGATTTGTCAGAAAGTAGAAAGAATTTGAAGAAAATAAATATAGTTGGAAGAAATTAGAAGAAACTGGAAAAAACTAGAAGGAACTGGCTGGAAGGAACTGGAAAAAACTGGAAGAAACTGGAAAGAATTGGAAGGAATTGGAAGAAACTGGAAGTTAAGAGTTCAAGCTCTAAAGAACAGGCCCTTAATATGAGACGGTGGTAGTATAGGGATTGGCTTCACAGATTGTAAGAAAAGTGTTGAAAAGTGACAAGTGTGTGGTTAGAATTTGTTGAAAAGAAAGAGAAATGTTTTAGGTCACAATCATTTTCTTTAAGAGGATACATCTGTGAAATTAATTTGCGATGAATGGAAAAGGGAAGCATGCAGTTTATTTTGGGACATAGTTAGCTATTGTAGATTCAAAATCTTGGAATTGCCTGTGAGAATCAGGTGGCTCACATTATAGCTTGAGCGTTTGTTTCTATGTCTGGTTCAGTGGAATGGGGGTCTGTCCCACCACTTTTCATTACAGATGTTCTTCTTGCCTTTGATTTGATTAATAATAATAATAATAATAATTGAGTTGTTAATCAATACTCGTCTGTGCTATTAATATGACAGAAAAGCTAGGTGTACCCCAATCTTTGTAACCCAACTTGCACAGCATTGTATCACAGACACACTCATGCAACTATTGGCTGTGCACGCATGGACATTAGTTGTGTGTGTGCCAATGATACACTGGTGTGCAAGTTGGTGTACCCCGAGCACACCTCTAATGTGAGTCATCGTAGGTGTCACTTACTGTCTTTGTTGTATGTTGCAGTCACTGCTATGTGATCCAAACCCAAACTCCCCTGCCAATTCTGAGGCAGCGAGGATGTTTAGCGAGAACAAGCGTGAATACAACAGGAAGGTACGCGAGGTTGTTGAGCAGAGCTGGACTGCCGATTAATGAATGCTGCTTCTGCTGCCGCACACACCATGTTTGCTTCATGCACCCTCTCCTTTTGTTTGTTGTTTGCCATTATTTTATTATTGTGTCCTTTTGAAGGTCTCGTGTTCTAGGAGACTATTTTGTTATGTGTGCTGCTGCTGCTGCTTTGTTGAGACTTTTGTACATATAATTTCCTGTATGTGTCCCGCCCGTGTGGAATTTGTACCATAACGTTTACGCACATAATAATCGTATCTGTATTGTTTGAAGATCATCTTGAACAAACAAATCATCTATGATTTGCCAAAACTTTGATGTTTACTTAGTTGATGGGCTATCTCATGTGTGAATGATAAAGTGAAATTTACCATTGGAATTTATGCAGAGAGGAGAGAAACATATTTTAACTCTTCAAAACGGACATGATTTTTATTGTGGTGCGTTCAAATACGAAAAATGAAATTTTAAATATAGAATTAGAGAGTAAAATGAATATGTTTCCTCTGTTTTCCATCCACTTTAAAGTACTAATGTTTATATTTTCATTTCTATTCTTTCTACAAAAATAACATGTACAAATATCATAAGGAGTTTCTTCCAAATAATTTTTTATCGTAATTTTTTCACATTTTAGTACTTTTTTACCTATAGTTTTTTCCCCCACATTGGGAGTATTGAATGATAGGTGGCTCAATTTATAATGTGGCCAAAGCCGTACCTTTAAAAAAATCTCCATAATTTAAAAAAAGAAGAGGATAAAAAGGCCAAATGTGTCGGTGATACCTTCGTTGTTTCCAAAATGTGTAGAAATAATAACGGTGGCTTTGCTGGACCTATGTCCTAAAAATGAACCCCTCTCCCGGTGGGACCATACCCTAGGGTGGATGTAAGGTCTACTATGAAAGAATAAAATAAATATTGTTTAATACTTAAATAAGTATTTGTTTTTTGTAGATAAAAAATTTTAAAAAAAAAATTATGTGAAAGATTTACAAAAATAATATGCATTCAAAAGTGTACCAAAGAAACACTCATATATCTAACCTCTCCCACACTCAAGAGATTTATCACAATTCTTGTCCAACAGTTAATCGAGAGAAAATAAATGTACAAAGGGTAATTTCCCCTTCCTTCCGTTGCCTTCATTCCTATGCACAACAACGAGAATTTTATTTAAGATTGTAATCTAGAATCAAACCGCCTATATTGATTTTTCTCATCAATTATTTAGTTTTTTCAATTTGATTTTTGTTTAACCGGTATTCAAATATGCGCTTTAAATATTTTTTTTATTTTATGTGTGAGTTTATGTTGTTTGTAATTTATACAATTGAATTAAAAAAATTAAAGTAGAATGAACAAATAAGAATAAGATGATTATATAACCCAAAAACTCAAATATTATAAGATACTTTGACTGAACTATATTAAAATATTGAATTCAATTATTTATTTAGATCAAATCAAGAGCTTATAACATATTAATGTCACATTTTGTTTTCTAGAGAATTTTGATGAGTTTTTAATACATAAATTTAATTTTGAAAATTAGTACTGGGCACATTTATTAAAATATTATTATCTTTGTCTCTGAAGATTTGTCTCATTTTAACTTTTTGTTATCAAACTTTTTTTAACTTTTGATCTATAATAAAATTAAATATATATGATATATTAATTATAAAAAATATCTTGTAAATATTTTATAAAATAAATCTAATAAGGTATTTTTGTATATAAATCTAATAAGTTATTTTTGTAAACATAGATAATCAATTTATATAATTTGACCAAAAGTTTATTTAATTTGGATATGGTTAAAATTAACTACTCAAATTTGTTGGTAGTAGGACAATTACTTCGAATGAAGGGAGTACTTTGCTTGGACATACAGTTTACCATTGTGAATAAATAAATCAACTGAGTAAAAAGACAAAAAAAAGTGAAAACATTTGAATACTTTGGCCGAACAGTTACAAATACTGTACCACACATTCGAACAATTCACCAACTTTACCACTCGCAGTAAAAAACTACTGCTTACGTATACGCTATACTGAGTTGAGGGTCGTTAGCTTTTTCTCTCTCTCTAAACAGTGGCGGACACAACGACGGGAAGAGACGAGAAAAGCGGGTGGATAAGGTTTCATTTCCGGCGAGCTCTCACTGACTGTGAGCTTCGCCGCCGCTTTCTCTCTTCAATTACTCGCTCGCCTGAATTTTTTTGTTTGTTTGTTTGCTCTTTAACGAAAACTCTGTTCGATGTTGATTTTGATGTTGTTTCAGTTTCAGCTATGGCGGTTCCCAGATCTTGAGCTCCTCCATTCCCGTGGTACATCTCAGATCTGTAACACTCCCTCCAGATTCTCTATGCGTCGTCGTCTAGCTTGCATGCGCATAGATTCTAACGAAGTTTGATTTCTATGTTTGGTGTTGCCGCGTTGTAGATCTAGCTTGCTGGTTTTCTGTTTCTGTTTTGCATTTCATTGATTAATTACTTTGAACATTTTGTTTCATATACCCTACTGTAATTAAGGTCAAAATTGTCATGTTCTATTTTTGAAAACTGATTTTGCATTTTTACAAGTCGAATATAGTTAGTATTTTACTATTTTTCCTACATTGCTTGATTGAAACTTTGAAAGTGATTATGCGAAAATCTTTAGGAATTTTATGTGAATCTGAGGCGTAATGTACTTGGATTTCCTTAAGGTGTCTGTCCACACCGCTCACCTCTTTTAATATATGGCCGTTTTTTTAAATTATGAGACAATGCAGGCTATACATTTTTGAAGTCCCTTCGATCCTTGCAGCGGGCTGTCGGCAATGGGGAAATCCCCAGGAAAGTGGATCAAGACAGTACTTTTTGGAAAGAAATCTTCCAAGTCAACCTTATCATCGAAGGTAATTATATGTATAGCCATTACCTTTTTGGTATCCGATCTGGTCATTTAAAAATTTATTACATCATTCTTATGAAGTAATGAAGCGTTTGAGAGTATTTCTTTTGGAATGGAGGTTATTGGTTAACAAATGCCCCTTGAAAATTTTGCACTAAATAGGACTAAAACATAAGTCATTTCCCAATGTAGGACTTAAACTTTTTTATTCTCTAAGTAGTACTTAATTTTTTTAGTGAGAGGAATAATGTCCAGTGATGGTGGACATTTACTTGAATAATGACTAATGGATAATGACCAATGGTCCTACATTGGGAAATAAAAACATATGGTCCTAAATTGAGAAAGTCATTGTGTTTTAGTCCTATTTAGGTTAGAAAATCAGCATTTCAAAATGTCAATTATAGGTTATGTTTCTATTTTTCTGGCAAGGTGAACAAATAAAACACTTTCCAATTATAAAACTGTATCATTTATGGATGTTATGCTCTAGTAGGTTATCTAGGTACTGATAATGAGATTATATTTATTCACTCTTGTTTTAAGGTTTAATATCATTTTACACGAAATGCTATTTTCCAAGTTATTTTCTCTTTTCCAACAAGCTCTGATATCAGCACCCATACCTCAATAGATTTTCTATTGGTTCCTTTAGCCGATCCCATTATATTGGGATTGTGGCATGGCTTTTGTTTTTGTTGTAATCTGGAACTATGTTTCAATGTGAAGGATGGCTCTACTGCCAAGAAAGTACCCACATCAGATGTCATGCAGGATCATCCAGTGATGCCTGATTCATCATGTCACAATATTAGTAGTGGTGAAGAGACAGAAGAACTAGATAATGGTACAACCACCAGGTTTCCAGGTGATACTCTTGCTTTGTCCTCTGTGGAGAATGTGGATTCACCAAGCTTAGGCATTGTGTCAGTTGATGATGCTGAGCTCACAAGGCAAGATAAAGCTGCAAGAAAGGCACAAGCAGTCTTTAGGGGTTATTTGGTAATTTGGTTTACAATTACGCATCTGCTAGAATTAGAGATGACTACGCTCGCTTTTCAACTTTCATTTTCTGATTTATGAATCAATGCTTCTTTCTAGGCTCGCCGTGCTTTCCGAGCTCTTAAGGGAATCATAAGGCTACAAGCACTTATCCGTGGACACTTGGTTAGGAGGCAGGCAGTTGCTACATTGCGTTGCATGCACGCAATTGTTAGGTCCCAGGCCTTGATTCGTGGACGGAGAGTTAGACTTTTAAATCCTGTTTGTCAGGGTTTTGGAAGCTACACATTAAGAGAAAATAAGGTAATTCTTCAATATAGAACTTCATTGGCTATCTCATCTCCCTATTACCTTTCCTCGTATATCGTATCCTATCATTCTTTCATACTACCTCTGTGCTAAAAAAAGAGTCACAAATATTAAAATTTATTTGTTGGTGTAACTAAATTAATCACATGAAGAATTAACTTTGTTCAAATTGTTTTTTTGGGACCAAAAGTGTTTGAAACATGAATTGTTTGTTTATGAGACAGGAGTATTTGACTATTTGCAATTTTTCAACAATTTATACTGTACTGTGTCTTTTCTTGGTTGCCATCAATTCTAAACTCACATTTCCTGTGTTTTCTCTGGATACTATGCAGGCAGAGTTAAGTATCACAAGTGTTTCCCTAAGGACTGAAAAACTAGCGGCTAATGCCTTCGTGTGCAAGGTATTTTCTTCTTTGGCACATTTAAACATTTTACATCATTTTCAGGAGTTGAATTAAGAACCAAAGTCTCAGTCAACACAAGATTAGGAGTGATACGCTTTGAGACTGTCAATGAGAAAGATAAAAATTAGATTGAGACATCCTTTTCTGGAAAGGAAAGATGAGATGGTCTTGATATGAAAGAAAAAGAGAGTGAGGGAGTATTTATCAAGTATAGACGTGTTTTGGGCTTACAACCATATGTTTGAGCTTGTGGTTGAGCTAGATCTTTAAGACTTTAACATGGTATCAGAGCCTGACCTAGAGGTTACAAATTTGAACCTCACTGCCACCCAACTTATAAAAATCAACGTTCACGTGCAAGACTCGAGTAAAAACAAATCTCGTTTGCTTGTGAGAGGGCGTGCTGCAGAGTACTTTCCTGTGTCTACAAGTCTACAACCACAACTTCGCTTATCACTTAGCCTTCTTAAAATTTGACTAAACAAACTACAGAGTAGTTCACACTAGGAAATTAAGTTTAGGCAAAATCGAACTGGAAACAGCTCTTAGGCTCTCCAAAGCCCACCCCTTCAAATCTTTTTATTCAAACAAACCCTTTTTAAATGTGCATTCCATAATACTGTGCACTCCATTTGAATATTTGTTGGCATACCCTTTTTTATTTATTATAAATAAATTTTAATGAACTTTTTCTTTTATATTCAGCTTCTTGCTATAGTGCCAACAGCTATGCCCCTGAGCCTTCAGTATGATGTGTGTGAGCCCAATTCAGCTTGTAACTGGCTTGAGCGCTGGTCATCATCTCGCTTTTGGGCACCACTTCCCCGGCCAAAGAAGAATCCCAATCCAAAGTTTCAAAGGAAGCACAGTGCACTTAACCTTGAGGCAGAATCTGGTAGACCAAAAAGAAGTGTCAGAAAGGTTCCCATGGCATCCAATGTTGACAATCATGGATCGAGTTCCGTGGATTTTGAAAAACCTAAACGTGTTCCTAGGAAAGTCATAAACCATCAGACCGAAACATCACAAGAACAACCTCAGGCTGAACTAGAGAGGGTAAAACGGAACTTAAGAAAAGTTTCTGCGTCGTCTGTGACAGTGGCTTCTGAAAAGACAGATGTAGAAATTGAGAAGGTGGTCCATCCCGCCCCTTCTGAAATGCCAAAATCATTGTCTGATCCCTCTGAGGCTGGTGAACAAGCAGTAGTTGATTCTTCAGACCTGACAACTGACCCTAAGGTTGGATCTGAAGAGTTGGCAGTGACTGAGCCTCCACCAAAACCCGATACAGCTGACAATAATACCCCTTCTGAGCGGTTGCTGCCTGAAAATGGCGAGAAGGGTGAGATGCTACCCATTGTCACGGAGGAACTTAGTTCCAAAGAAGATCAAACTGGAAAAGAAGGCCAGAGGAGTAGGAGGAGGAGATCTCTTCCAGCAAAGCAAGAGCATACTGAGAATATTTCACAAAATACACCAAGCTTGCCTAGCTATATGGCAGCAACTGAATCTGCAAAGGCTAAGCTTAAAGCACAGGGGGCTACCAAACCAAATGAAGATGATGCTGAAAATGGTTATACAAGACGGCATTCTCTTCCTTCGTTGACCAATGGAAAGTTGAATGCACTGTCTCCTCGGATGCAGCGGCCGGTTCAACCAACTGGCAAAGGTGGAAACAAAACAGTCAAATCAGTGCCCTCCACTAGGGATGGTAAGATGTGCCTTATCTTTGCAATTTTGTTTGTTTCTAACATCTTTCTTTCTAATCTGGGACTCTGCTATAGTGTTAGTGTGTTTTACCTGCATAGTCTTCACTTGTCAACTGTCATAGATTATAAAGCGGCAAAACTAATTTTAAGCCACAAAACTCTGTGGGGTAGCACATTAATATCGACTTCTAAGCATTCTCATGAATTTCTTTTGGATGTAAATTTTAGAAAAGGCACTTCAGCCTGGTTGGAGGAGATGAGCTCAAGAACAAACTTGCCGGAGTGGAGGTAGTGCATATGAGGCTGTTTCATTTGTTTGTGAAATCTGTGGTGTAAAAGATTAGATTCGGATTAATGTAATTTGTGTCACTCCCAAGCTTCCCCATGGTAGGCTTGTTGTTAGGGGGG